GTCAGTATCCCATATGGCTTTCTGGAATTCACCCCAATACTCCTTATAAGCAGAATGTGGTAACTTAACAGAGAACTTTGATGTGATGTGCCATATGCAAAGTCGATGAAATGTAGTCGGGAAGGCTATTGAAATCGCTCTGCTCATTGCCGCATCTTGATCTGTGATGATCGTTTTAGGTTCGCCACCTGGCATGGCTTTCTTAAACTCCTCAAACATCCAAATAAACGACTCAGTCGTTTCCTTGCTCAAAAATGCGCATGCTAGGACAATTGTTTGACCATGGTTATTAACTCCCAACATTGGTGCAAATGTCAAGTCGTATCTATTCGTGTTGAATGTGGTATCGAATACAACAACATCTCCATAAAACCCGTACGCCCGTCTAGAAGTTGCATCTGCCCAAAAACATCGACTAAACCTGTTATCGCCATCTCCCTCAATCTTGAAATAAAAAGCCTCATTTTTTTTCTGTTCAGCCATAAAATACTCGGTCACTAGTTCAACATCGTGGTTCCTCAGCTTCTCATTCACACTACATTCAAGATTGTACATATCCTTTTTCATAAAACCGATTTTATCCATTCCTCCGGATTGCACCTCGAAAATACTTACCTTCTGATTAATGGGAATATTAACCGAACCCAACTGTTTTGTAAGTACTTTTGTAGAATCTGAAATACGACGGTGTGATCTCAGTAAATGCATTCTTCCTGAGGGTGTCATCTTATGATTGTGTCCCTCTGCAAAAAGAGAGATGGTATACTTCTTGCTCCCATGTGTCTTCACAACCACAATCTTAGCTTTGCAATTGCATCTACTTATTCCCCGTTGTCTTTTCTCTCCCGAGTTTCATCATTCCGGTATGCACCTTGTTTGCAACATACAAATTCTTTTCTCAGAATCTCTTTCTTATTTTTCCCCCAAAAGCTGGAATGAAGTCGAATACCAAAGCCAGCCAAGAATGCATATCTATTATAGAAATTATAAACGAGGTCAAGCGAGTCGAACTTCATCCCAACTGCTGGTGTTTCCTCATTTCTTACTTCAGGAATGTAAACCCTCCCATTAGCTGTTACAGAGTCGTCACTCTCTGAGCCCCCAGACATTTTATCCACGTATATTATTGATCTACTTCTATATTACTGCATAGCAAATGTTAATTCATTAATCAATCATTACTGCATCACAACTTAGCAATGCATTCCACTTACACAAAACATTGCCCAAATTGACACAATACACGCATAGCCTAGCTTGTTGGATTCTGATTACACAAAACACAAGCAAAATTTAATACTAGTTACGTCATCTCTTGTGAAATAATCTGGAAAAAATAACATTAGAACCAACATGTTCAACTAAGAACTCAAATGTAATTCAAACCAGCAATTACAGAACTTCACCCAATATCCTCTCCAAATGCTTACTTCTAATGCCATTAAGCCTAAGTTTAGGATCTTTTACCTACATTTCATAATTTTCCAATCCCCCTCCAAACAAAAATAATCAACTAAGTATATTGAATATTCATAAGGAAATGACGCATTATTGATAGCAGAGCAAATGACGCATTATTGATGCCACAAATGACAAATTTCTCACCCTCACAAAAAACAAATCAAACCCAGCAAAATCAATCCAGCAAGAGTGAACTTACCTCTCAAAGTCAAATGACGCATTATGATAGCAGAGCAAATGACGCATTATTGATGCCACAAATGACAAATTTCTCACCCTCACAAAAAACAAATCAAACCCAACAAAATCAATCCAGCAAGAGTGAACTTACCTCTCAAAGTCAATCGGGAGCTCCGAACTCAGTCAGCTTCAAAGAATGTGGTGGACATTAGAGAGGATTCTTTCGTAGTGGAGACTCCATCTCTACCAAAATCCAGGAACAACTGCAGCAGCACGAAAAAGAGATATGCTACTTTGCTTTCATCTGGAATCTCTTCTGCTGAACGAAAAAGAGAAGGGGTTTTCACTTCAATCATAGAATCAAAACAGGGCAATAGCTAGGTAAAAGCCATTAATCATCATACCGAGGATACCATAGATCGCAGGCCTCCCAAGGAGCTGATGACAATGGAGCGATTATAGAGTTTGGGAGCTTTGGATCTTTCTAATTGTGGATTTGCATTACATTAAAAAAGAGAGGATTGTGTTCTTGAGTTTTTCACAGAGAGGGAAAAATCTTCAGCTGAAGTTGGGTCTCCAAACGGGTCAGATTTCAACCCGGTTCTACATGCACCCTCTTTTAAAAACTCACCGTTGGATGAAATCCAACGGCTCTTACATACCCCTCAAAAAAACCCCTTATAACTTTCCACTCACTATAGAAGCACTCTAAATTATGAGCAATGTGGTCTTTTGCTTGCATTCAATTTTTTGGGCTGGACTTGAGACAGAGAGACAAAGAGATAGGTGGGGTGTCTTGAGAAATTTTGTGGTGGGAGGGTGGTAAGGGTTGGTTGCTGGGTGGGTGATATTGGGCAGTGGCTTGTTAGATGGTGGTTATGGTGGGAGAGGGGGGAGGGCACCAGAGTAAAAAAGGAATGAATTTGTGTTATTTATTATTATTTTTTCCTTTTTGTATTTGTTATTTTAAAAAGGAATGATTTTTTTAATAATTTGACCGAATTGCCCCCTCACAAGTAATGGAAGTTTAAAAAATTGGGAGTTTCACTAAAACACCCAAAATGGGGGTTGAAATTATAAAAAAACCCAAGCACTATTTAAACATATAAACACACCCAAAACCCATCATTACACACACTCAAAACCCATTTATAAACACACCCAAAAAGTTGACTTTGGGGTTGATTTTGGGTGTGTTTCTATGTTTAAATAGTGCTTGGGTTTTTTTATAAATACATATCTAGGATTGGGTTTATTTATAAATTTGTATAAAAAATTTAACAGAAATTGAGAGTTGTCCTTAAATTACTTGAAATTGAAACCACAATGACAAAAATGTTCAAATTGAAACCACAAGGGACCTTAATGGTAAAAGTGATAAACCACAGGGACCAAAAGTGACTTTTTGCCTTATTTTTTTCCATAAATCCATGTTTCCCTAGTTCCGTGCATATGTGCCTACTTAGGTTATTGGAGTGAATAAATATACTTAGTAAGTTAAAACAGTTGAAAATTCATGTACTATATGGATGTCATCTTCTTCTTCATTTTTTTCTCCAGGAAACTATGGTTGTTTAAAACTAGGGTAATAAAGATAAATTTTAGATCTATCAAATCGAAGTTCATAATCTGATTGCACTTTCATGTTCGTCCAGTGGGATTACTAGTTTCTAGATTTTGAAATAGCCAAGCATGCGCACTTTTTACCCTCTTTTTCAAAGGAGGAATAAGTAGCAAGTTTCTAAGAAAAATAGAAAGTAGAAGAAAAGAGAACACCCTTTTCTTTCGAGGGAAGAAATAATGCTTACCCTTTTTTGGTTTTCGTTTTCAGAAATGAAAACGAAAAAAGAATTTCTGTAGTTGTAGTTAGCATAACCAATTCCAAACCACTGGTTATTTCTATCTGAAATCACTGGTTGTTTTGTTAGCTCCCAAAAGTCTTCTAGAAATTTCATTCCCTCAAGTGATATTAGAAAGATAAAAATGCAAAGATGTTTTTCATCGCCAAGACTCACATCGTTGACGTCTTTACCGAAATGGGCCCTTACCCTTTTGCATGTTTCCTTATTCAGAAGGGTGTTTTTTCCCTTGCTGCTCTTACCCTTTCATAATGTCATAGCATTCCTGACTCAAAAAAGGAAAAGAAGGGCCTCTCCCTTATAAGTATCAGGAGTTTCTTTCTCTCGAATCACCACCTCACACGAACCCAATAGTCCACAGTTACAGAGAATTGCTCACAGCAATTTAGATAGGCATCTACTTCGCATTCTCAAGGAAGCACAATCTCGTCTCACTCTAAGCTAATGGGTATGTGTGCCTACACTTGCATTCTTTTTTCGTTTTCACCGATCTGTCAATGCAAATAAATCAAAGTTTTATGTGAAATTTGACATGAAATTGTTCAAGATGTTTTTTTGGGTTAAAGTTACTATCATAGTTTGGTTTGAATCGATCATTTCTTTTTAAAAATAATTCTTTTCCAACTCTGCTAATTTTCAATGAAATCCCCTGCACCTTTCTGTTTGTACAGTTTAATTTTACTCTCTGTTACTAACTATTATCAGGTTTCTTTTTTCTGGTTATGCAGCTGGCCATTGGATATTTGTGTTCTTCTTGTTAGTTTCTACAGCTAAAGTCCAATCCAGTGTATTCGATGTGACAAGTGCAGCATATGGAGGAAAGCCAAACTCTGACATTACCCAGGCCTTGGCCAATGCTTGGAGAGATGCTTGTGCATCGACATGGCCAGCTAAAGTTGTTATTCCACAGGGAACATACTATACGAGAGGAGCAATTTTGCAAGGTCCTTGCAAGGATCCTATTGATGTTCAAGTCCAAGGCAACTTCAAGGCTCCATTGGACAGCAAATATCTCACAAAGCAGGATAGTTGGGTTGGTTTTCAATACGTTGACAGGCTCACCTTATATGGCGGTGGAACTTTTGACGGCCAAAACAATTGCTACAAAAACAAATACTGCAAAACTACTCAAGCTGTTGTAAGTTCATTAGATCAATCCTTGCTGTTATTTATTTCTTGGATATTAAGTTATAGTCTATGAATACATGTTGCTAAATTCTAATGTTGCTGTCTGTTTGGCTAATGCAGAACCTGAGGCTCGATTTTGTCACCAATTCCATGATCCGGGACATAACTTCACTTGACAGCAAAAACTTCCACATCAATGTTTTGGGATGTCGCAATGTCACATTCCAATATGTCACCATCACAGCGCCAGAAGACAGCATCAACACGGATGGAATTCATATTGGGCGCTCATTCGGGATCACCATCGATCACACAACCATCCGCACAGGGGATGATTGCATTTCTCTAGGTGACGGAAGCCAGTGAATCATCATGACCAACGTTACTTGTGGACCGGGCCACAGCATAAGCATCGGAAGTCTAGGAAAATACCAAAGCGAAGACCCTGTGGCCGGAGTACTAGTCAAGAACTGCACCCTGACTAACACACAAAATGGTCTGAGAATCAAAACATGGCCTGGCTCCCCTGCATTTGGCACTGCCACACATATTCACTTTCAAGATATTGCCATGGTCAATGTAGGAAACCCTATCTTCATTGACCAACAGTATTGCCCATATAGCCAGTGTGCACAGAAGGCTCCATCTACAGTCCAGATCAGCAGCGTCAGCTTCGTCAACATTAAGGGCACTTCTGCCATACCAGTTGCTGTACAGCTTATGTGCAGTAGAAAATTACCATGCCAGAATGTAGGGTTGGAAGATATTGATATCACTTACAGTGGAGACAAAGGGCCTCTTACCTCTCAATGTGCTTATGTGAAGCCTCAGTTTACTCGAGTGGCAAATCCTCTTTCTTGTGCTACCAATCCTTTTAGTCGGAGAAGTAGAAGAAATCGTGCTAATGTTCTCTCTAGATAGATTGCCAGGGTATTTGCCCTTTTAGGTACATAATGGAAAGTGTTCTAAGTTCAAATTGAGATTGATCTTTATTTTATGCATTGCAATAAGTTCCCTCTTCTTCATGACCCTCGTTATTAACCCAGACTCATGCCTCAATCTAAACCACCCTAATGCCAATTAAAAATATTACATTAACAATCTCCCCTTTTAGTACAAAAACCTCATTGAAAAGAAAAACAAGTCAAGTCAAGTCAACTGATAAAACAAACTTCAGACTCAATATCCAATGAAGCTTCGATGAAAAACTTCAAACGGAAAGCTCATAAACACTAATATACCAATGAACCACGTGTGGTATGAAGTGCAAAGTGTAAGATAAAAACATAAGGTCAAATTACCATGAAAAACTCAACGGGTTGTAGCCGAGTTGAAAAGGACCTTATCTTGCATACTAGTGGTCTTAGTTTCGAACCCCCATGATACCCTGTTTGTGTGTGTATGCGAGAAATCCTCCCTCTCCCTTATTAACTTTGGCAACAACAAAATAATTACCATTAAAAAGAAAACTAGTTTAACATACACACATAATTCTCCCCATTTTTTGTCATGAAATGCCTAAAGGACTATGTTTGAAGTTTTAAAAATAAAATACATTTTTAAATTTTAAAGAAATTAAAACAAAAATTATGTCAGATTATTTGTAATGGTTTTTCTTTAATTTTTTTATTTTTATTTTTTATAAATAGTATTATGCGGACTTTGGATATGTGGATCAAATTTTAGGGCCCATTGAGAAGCCCTTGTACACATAGGAAAACTCTTAATTAATTGGAAGGCAAGTCTTTTGTCTTGGGCCGGTGGACTTCCTAGTTCAAATGGGCCAACGGTGCAATGTTTTCCCAAGGGAATAAGGAGTGCCGATCTAGAACTACGTGGCAATTGCCTATTGGATGTCTCTCTCTCTCTCTCTCTCTCTCTCCAAGTTTCTGTCTTTGTGTTTCTTCTTAATTTCATTTTCTCTGTTAATGTTCTTGTTTGTGTTCATATGGTTATATTGAAAGCTATATGAACTTTTACCAGAGACTTTTTTTTTCTTTTTTCTTTTTTAATTATAGCTGTGTGAGAAGGTGAATTTTTTTAATCTTTATTCTATTTTTTTCGTATAATTATTTATCTACTTTGGAGGGCATGTGCATTGTTCTTGTAAAAACCTGAAAAGGCAGAGGAATATACAAATAGGATGTCAATTCAAGGAAAAAAAAAGTTAATCAAGGAGGCCTGGGTTAATTAGTATATATAAGTAAATTTCTGGTGCATCGAAGGCCAAGATGATTTTTTTTTTCTGGTATATTAGTATATATAAACAAAATTCTAGACACAATTATGAGAAATAAATTTATGGTACCTTTGTTTATCTGCATTGGTTTTTTTCTTTTCTTGCTCTCTTTCAATGCACTCTAAATAAGGAATTCATTGATTTTTCTTTTTTCCCAACTCTGCCAATTTTGTCGAAATCTCTCGATTAGTTTCTATTTCGAGCAAGCGCCGTAGAGGTTATGTTATTCTCTGGTACTGATTGTGTATATGCATGTAGTGGAACTTTTTAATGATTGTCTTATTTGGATTTTGTAATGCAGGTTACTGAACATTGGTGATTGACTGTGAAAGTTGAAGAACATCTTTTGCTAGGAAAGAAATTCAAATGGGCCAACCTAAGTCTCTTCTTTTCCTGTTGATCTTCTTAACTCTGGCAAGGTCTTGTATGTCATGGTTTTGGTCTTCTTCTTCTGGCCAGGCCGGCCATAACACTGCACAAAATCTGCAAATATCTGGTGATGTTCTGCAAATATGAGTCTTACCATGTCTTAAATCTTTTCTTTCTAATCTGACATATCCTTGGAAGCAAAAATCTTTTGTCCAAACTGGAAACTGAGCCAAGCGTTATTGTATGGTTTCTTGGGGTAGACGGCAATATTAGAAAACAGCCTAAGAACCGTTCCCTGGCTTGTAGGTAATTCATGGCTGAGCTGCTTAATTAATTACTAATTATATGATAAAATGGTTGACGGTGTTTAGCTTCTTAATGGCCTCTCGTATAATTTGACGGTGTTTAGCTTTCCGATCGGACTATAAATTGGCCTGAAATAAATGGAATTTCATCAACTTCCCAACCAAAAAACAAAAACAAAAAAACATAAAGTGAAAAAAAATAAAAATAAAAAGAGTGAAGATGGGTTTGAAACTGAAAAATGTCTTGCCAGTATTTGTGTTCTTGTTGTTAGCATCCACAGCTAAAGCCCAAACAGTGTTTGATGTGACAAGTGCAAAATATGGTGGAAAGCCAAACTCTGATATTACCCAGGTAACAAACATTAATTTCCATATTCAGTTCAGATTAGAATTTATTTCTATAATTGTTTGCTAAACTAAATCATTTACTATGTCTTAATTTTTGTTTAATGTTTTGAATTAGGCTTTGAGCAAGGCTTGGACAGATGCATGTGCTTCAACATCACCAAGTAAACTTGTTGTTCCAAAAGGAACATTCAAGTTTTTAGGAACAACTTTTAAAGGTCCTTGCAAGGCTCCCATTGCGTTCCAGCTCCAAGGAATATTGCAGGCTCCAGCAGATGGCAACCAACTCCCAAAGAAGGATACTTGGATTAGTTTCGACCACATTGACCGGCTCACCATATCAGGTGGTGGAACTTTTGATGGCCAAGGAGCAATTGCTTGGAAACAAAATGATTGCCACAAAAACCAAAATTGCAAATCTATTGCCATTGTAAGATAATCTGATCCTACCCTGTTTCAAATCTTAGTCATTGATCAATTCTTGACGTGATGCGTGATCCAAATTCACAGTCTGACAATATCAACATTTGTTTGATAAACATAAATCTAGAAAGAGAAAAAAATTACTCATATGCGTTTGATTGTTTTCTCAATATATATGTGCAGAATTTGAGGTTCAACTTCATCACCAATTCCAGAATTGAGTACATAACTACAAAAGATAGCAAAAATTTCCACGTCAATGTTTTGGGGTGCACCAATGTTGCATTCCACCATTTCACCGTCTCAGCACCTAAAGAGAGCATTAACACAGATGGAATCCACATTGGACGTTCCACTGGGATCAGCATCATTGACTCAACCATCAAAACTGGGGATGATTGTATCTCAATTGGTGACGGTACCAAAAATCTCAACGTGACCAACGTTACTTGTGGACCAGGCCACGGCATAAGCATCGGGAGCCTTGGAAGGTACCAGAACGAAGAACCCGTGTCCGGGATCACAATCAAGAACTGCACCTTGACTGATACACAGAATGGTGTGAGAATCAAAACATGGCCTGCTTCCCCATCAGCTGGTACTGCCTCAGATATTCACTTTGAGGATATTATCATGGTTAATGTTGGTAACCCTATCCTCATAGACCAAGAGTACTGCCCATGGAACCAGTGCACACTAAAGGTACATATAACAATTTGTTAACATCATATGTTCCTTGTTAGTCAAGTCATCTACTTAATCTTTAATTAATAATGGTAATATTAATTGTTCTATGCAGGTTCCATCCAAAGTTAAGATCAGCAATGTTAGCTTCAAAAACATCAAGGGCACATCTACCACTCCACTTGCTGTCAAGCTTGTATGCAGCAAAGGCCTACCATGTGAGAAAGTGGAACTAAGTGACATTGATTTAAAGTACACTGGAAACCAAGGCCCTCTTACCTCTAAATGTACTAATGTCAAGCCCACGATTACTCGCGTGACAAAGCCTCTTGCTTGTGCAACTTCTGCTTGATCTAACAAGTACAAACCATGCTGATGTTTCTCCAGAGGTGGAAAATATCAGTACACTTTTGTTGTTGAATAAATTACCCATGAGCCTTGCTCAAGTGACATGATACGGGTGGGGTGAGGGGGTAGAGGTTTTATGTTCTAACCTCCTTGTAATTATTTTTTGTTCTATTTTATTTTTTGGCAAAACGTCATTTTTGATCCCTGTGGTTTGTCGCTTTTACCACTAAGATCCCTGTGGTTTCAATTTGAACATTTTCATCCTTGTGGTTTCAATTTGAAGCAATTTAAGGACAATTCTCAATTTCTGTCAAATTCTTTTAACTTCTGTTACTGGTGGAGGGATAATCTAGTCAACAAGTTATTAAAAAATTAATTCTTTTAAAAATAAACAATACAAAATGGAAAAATTAATAAATAAAAAATATATCTTCTTCTCCCCTCCCTAGAAGCCTTCGTCCCTCTCTGCTGTATCTCTCCCTCTTCATTTCTCCATCACCTGATAGCATCCTATCCCCAGCCCCACCCTACCCCTAGCCGTGACCCACCCCCAACCCCATACCTACCGACAACCCAACACCAGCGCACCGACCTCCTCATCCCTCTATCTCTCTCCAATTTGGCCCTCCACCTCACCCCACCACAGCCCGCTAATCATCTCTCCACCACAACCTAAAACTAGATATTCTCCAATATACAGCTTTGTTCATCAGTCGATTTTTAATAACTTGGCAATAGCTATAGATTTTACCCTTCCCATCAAATAAGCCATAATAAGTGAGAATAAAATTGAAATAGGAGTTGTTCTTGGTGGGTGGGCTGGGTTGGAGCTTCTTTTTTTTTGGGCAGATCTGTTGGCCATATTGTAATAAATTATTGGCTTAATTATGTACATGCCCCCTGTGCTTTCCAACTTATCTCACATTACCACCTGTGGTAGAAAACGTCTCAAAGTACCCCCCAACGTGCAAAAAACTGTCTCACGTTACCCTTTCCGTCAGTTTTTTTGAAGTTCCGTTACGAACGTTACTGTTCATCTCCCTCAAAATTCCAGAACAGCAGCTCCTCCCATTTGTTACTGTTCATCGCACCAGTTTTTGGGCTGCCATCGCCTCCTCCGGCCACCCCAAGCGACGACATGGATATCAAAAGAACCAGCACGTTGTCATCTACCACCCTCACATCTCAGCCGCTGCCAACCGTTGTCTGGATCACCGAAAAAAGCAAGAAATTGACCAGTTTTTACCCAAAATCTCCATTGCTCGTTCGGGCGATTCCGAGCACCATTTTCTTCGATCCAGGTATGATTTTTCAACCTCTCGAGTTGTTCTTGCTGCTAGTTGTGTTGGTTAAGAGAAATTTCTGAGTTTTGGAGGGTAAATAAGCGATGAACAGTAACAAAGGGGAGGGGCTACTGTTCTAGAATTTTGGGGGAGATGAACAGTAACATTCGTAACGGAACTTCAAAAAAACTGACGGAAAGGGTAACGTGAGACAGTTTTTTGCACGTTGGGGGGTACTTTGAGACGTTTTCCACCACAGGTGGTAATCTGAGATAAGTTGGAAAGCACAGGAGGCATGTACATAATTAAGCCTAAATTATTAGCAATGTGGTCTTTTGCTTGCATTCAATTTTTTGGGCTGGACTTGAGACAGAGAGACAAAGAGATAGGTGGGGTGTCTTGAGAAATTTTGTGGTGGGAGGGTGGTAAGGGTTGGTTGCTGGGTGGGTGATATTAGGCAGTGGCTTGTTAGATGGTGGTTATGGTGGGAGTGGGGGGAGGGCACCAGAGTAAAAAAGGAATGAATTTGTGTTATTTATTATTATTTTTTCCTTTTTGTATTTGTTATTTTAAAAAGGAATGATTTTTTTAATAATTTGACCGAATTGCCCCCTCACAAGTAATGGAAGTTTAAAAAATTTAACAGAAATTGAGAGTTGTCCTTAAATTACTTGAAATTGAAACCATAAGGACAAAAATGTTCAAATTGAAACCACAAGGGACCTTAATGGTAAAAGTGATAAACCACAAGGACCAAAAGTGACTTTTTGCCTTATTTTTTTCCATAAATCCATGTTTCCCTAGTTCCGTGCATATGTGCCTACTTAGGTTATTGGAGTGAATAAATATACATAGTAAGTTAAAACAGTTGAAAATTCATGTACTATATGGCATGTCATCTTCTTCTTCATTTTTTTCTCCAGGAAACTATGGTTGTTTAAAACTAGGGTAATAAAGATAAATTTTAGATCTATCAAATCGAAGTTCATAATCTGATTGCACTTTCATGTTCGTCCAGTGGGATTACTAGTTTCTAGATTTTGAAATAGCCAAGCATGCGCACTTTTTACCCTCTTTTTCAAAGGAGGAATAAGTAGCAAGTTTCTAAGAAAAATAGAAAGTAGAAGAAAAGAGAACACCCTTTTCTTGCGAGAGAAGAAATAATGCTTACCCTTTTTTTGTTTTCGTTTTCAGAAATGAAAACGAAAAAAGAATTTCTGTAGTTATAGTTAGCATAACCAATTCCAAACCACTGGTTATTTCTATCTGAAATCACTGGTTGTTTTGTTAGCTCCCAAAAGTCTTCTAGAAATTTCATTCCCTCAAGTGATATTAGAAAGATAAAAAATGCAAAGATGTTTTTCATCGCCAAGACTCACATCGTTGACGTCTTTACCGAAATGGGCCCTTATCCTTTTGCATGTTTCCTTATTCAGAAGGGTGTTTTTTTCCCTTGCTGCTCTTACCCTTTCATAATGTCATAGCATTCCTGACTCAAAAAAGGAAAAGAAGGGCCTCTCCCTTATAAGTATCAGGAGTTTCTTTCTCTCGAATCACCACCTCACACGTACCCGATAGTCCACAGTTACAGAGAATTGCTCACAGCAATTTAGATAGGCATCTACTTCGCATTCTCAAGGAAGCACAATCTCGTCTCAGTCTAAGCTATTGGGTATGTGTGCCTAAACTTGTATTCTTTTTTCGTTTTCACCGATATGTCAATGCAAATAAATCAAAGTTTTATGTGAAATTTGACATGAAATTGTTCAAGATGTTTTTTTGGGTTAAAGTTACTGTCATAGTTTGGTTTGAATCGATGATTTCTTTTTTAAAAAATTTCTTTTCCAACTCTGCCAATTTTCAATGAAATCCCCTGCACCTTTCTGTTTGTACAGGTTAATTTTACTCTCTGTTACTAACTATTATCAGGTTTCTTTTTTCTGGTTATGCAGCTGGCCATTGGATATTTGCGTTCTTCTTGTTACTTTCTACAGCTAAAGTCCAATCCAGTGTATTCGATGTGACAAGTGCAGCATATGGAGGAAAGCCAAACTCTGACATTACCCAGGCCTTGGCCAATGCTTGGAGAGATGCTTGTGCATCGACATGGCCAGCTAAAGTTGTTATTCCACAGGGAACATACTATACGAGAGGAGCAATTTTGCAAGGTCCTTGCAAGAATCCTATTGATGTTCAAGTCCAAGGCAACTTCAAGGCTCCATTGGACAGCAAATATCTCACAAAGCAGGATAGTTGGGTTGGTTTTCAATACGTTGACAGGCTCACCTTATGTGGCGGTGGAACTTTTGACGGCCAAAACAATTGCTACAAAAACAAATACTGCAAAACTACTCAAGCTGTTGTAAGTTCATTAGATCAATCCTTGCTGTTATTTATTTCTTGGATATTAAGTTATAGTCTATGAATACATGTTGCTAAATTCTAATGTTGCTGTCTGTTTGGCTAATGCAGAACCTGAGGCTCGATTTTGTCACCAATTCCATGATCCGGGACATAACTTCACTTGACAGCAAAAACTTCCACATCAATGTTTTGGGATGTCGCAATGTCACATTCCAATATGTCACCATCACAGCGCCAGAAGACAGCATCAACACGGATGGAATTCATATTGGGCGCTCATTCGGGATCACCATCGATCACACAACCATCCGCACAGGGGATGATTGCATTTCTCTAGGTGACGGAAGCCAGTGAATCATCATGACCAACGTTACTTGTGGACCGGGCCACAGCATAAGCATCGGAAGTCTAGGAAAATACCAAAGCGAAGACCCTGTGGCCGGAGTACTAGTCAAGAACTGCACCCTGACTAACACACAAAATGGTCTGAGAATCAAAACATGGCCTGGCTCCCCTGCATTTGGCACTGCCACACATATTCACTTTCAAGATATTGCCATGGTCAATGTAGGAAACCCTATCTTCATTGACCAACAGTATTGCCCATATAGCCAGTGTGCACAGAAGGCTCCATCTACAGTCCAGATCAGCAGCGTCAGCTTCGTCAACATTAAGGGCACTTCTGCCACACCAGTTGCTGTACAGCTTATGTGCAGTAGAAAATTACCATGCCAGAATGTAGGGTTGGAAGATATTGATATCACTTACAGTGGAGACAAAGGGTCCCTTACCTCTCAATGTGCTTATGTGAAGCCCCAGTTTACTCGAGTGGCAAATCCTCTTGCTTGTGCTACCAATCCTTTTAAGTCTTAGAAGTAGAACAAGTCATCTTCTCTCTAGATAGATTGATTTTGTTTCTTTTTTTTTCTTCTTTTTTTTGGAATTGTATAGTTCAAAAAGTTTGGCTCTTATTATTAGGTTTGCCATTTTAGGTGTATAAATTGTTGTTTAAATTTTAAAATTTTTTTTTATGCATATTTTTTTCTTCAAGTTCAGATTGAGGCTGATTTATTTATGTATGTATGTGATAAAAATGCATGCCCTACTAAGAACTGTTTCACGATTCATTCACCATCAGCGCTCATCTCTCCAATCTATAAAATTGGTTCTTCTCCTTTTTCTTTTTGGTCTAAAAAGTTATCTCCATTCAATTCAAGTCTGATTTCATTGATTAGCTTCTCCAAATTTATTGTTTTGCTTGATAAGAAGAGAAACATTACTAGCCAAACTTAAGTCTGAATTCCATATTTCACGGTTTGAAATAGGTAGGTTTACTGGTGTCTGGTCATAGTTTAAGTTATTTTTGCTCACCACTTTAATCCAAAGTGTATGCTCATCACCATTCTTAATTAATACTTGACACGTGTTCATAGGCATAATCATGGTTAACTTTTTTCTTTGATTTATGTAACCATAGTTATGCTTATGGACACGTGTCAAGTGTTGAGAAGAGTGGTGAGCATACATCTTGGGTTAAAGTGATGAGCGAAAAATACTCCCCAAGTAATATACCTAGTGTTTGATTTTCAAGTTTACAAAAGCAAACAAGATCTTGAAAAGAGAAATAACACTATCTTTTATTCACTAATGATGCTTTGCTTGCTTGGTAGAACTCAAAACATGCGTTAATAATTCTATTTATTTTTTATTTATTTTTTCATATTTCCTTGTGTCTACGGTCTATGTTGTGTTTGATTTCATGATAGTTGTTATTGACTTGCACAATTAAAAAGTATCTTCTTTCTTATTACTAGTTCATTTGTTCTCCCTAACTATAGATTTGTGCCCCATTAAGGATTTAAATTGAAATAATTTTTTTCTTGAAAACTAAAATATGTAATTCACATGTCACTCTCTAGAAGTGACATCCGAAACTCGTGTCATTGTCAGCCAATAACATGTATAATCTCTCATTCTTGTTCTATTTTCAATTTAAAAGTACACAAACTTTCAATTAGTTCGAGTAATATGATTACAATTCTACATTATTTTTGTTGTTTTGTTAGCACTGTGGTTGATGTGTTAATTCATCAAACTTTTCTTTTTTTTCATAGTAGGTTTTTTCATTGTTCCGATGATAGTCAATGGATGCCCAAATCACAAGGATGGTAGTAGAGCTTGCATACCTTTAAAATAAAAGTTAAAACATGACAATGATCTTGTTATCAAAATAATGGAACAATTTTGTTATTAAAATGATAAGGCATTAAAAAGTGGACCGGCTTGAAACTACAAGCCTTCTCGCAAGAAATCTATTTAGTCACGGAACCCTAAATCCTAGCTTCCCATTAAATAGATTTCTTGCGAGAAAAGAAATCATGCTTACCCTCTTTTTGTTTTTCTGAAAGGGAAATATTCAAATTAAGGGTATTTTTTTGTTGTTGCTCTTATCTAACCCTTTTCATAATGCCATAGCATTCCAGATTCAAAAAAGTTAAGATAAGAGAAACAAACAAAAAGAATCTCTTATAAGTAGCAGCAGTTTGTTTCTCTCAAATTACCACCTCACACGAACCCAACAGTCCACAGTTACAGAGCAATTCAGATAGGCATCTACTTGGCATTCTCAAGGAAGCACAATCTCGTCTCGCTCTAAGCTAATGGGTATGTCTGCCTAGCCTTATATTCTTTTTTCTTTTTCACCAATATGTCAATGCAAAGAATGTTGGTGAGTTCTTATTGGAGAAGAATATACATATGAGCGTATCTGAATATATCTGAGAATTCCCATACACTTCGTTTGACAAAGAAATCAAAGTTTTATGTCAAAGTTTTCAATAAGATGAATGAGTAGGCACAGCACACACATGACACAGATTTTCTGAAAGGTGATATAATGTTTATTTTTATTTTTTTCTGGTTTATGCAGCTGGCGATTGGATATTTGTGTTCTTATTGTTAGTTTCTATAGCTAAAGTACAATCCAGTGTCTTCGATGTGACAAGTGCAGCATATGGAGGAAAGCCAAACTCTGACATTACCCAGGCTTTGGCCAATGCTTGGAGAGATGCTTGTGCATCAACATGGCCAACTAAAGTTGTTATTCCAAAGGGGACATATAATTTGAGAGGAGCAATTTTGCAAGGTCCTTGCAAGGCTCCTATTGAGGTTCAAGTTCAAGGCAACCTCAAGGCTCCATTGGACAGCAAATATCTCACAAAGCAGGATACTTGGGTTGGTTTTCAATACGTGGACAGGCTCACCTTATATGGCGGTGGAAGTTTTGATGGCCAAAACAATTGCTACAAAAATAAATACTGCAAAGCTACTGATGCTATTGTAAGTTGTTTCGATCAATCCTTGCTGTTATTTATATCTTCGATACCATTACAGTTTATAAATACATGTTTCTAAATTCTAATGCTTGTTCTGTTTGCCTAATGCAGAATCTGAGGTTGGATTTCGTCACGAATGCCATGATTCATGACATAACTTCTCTTGACAGCAAACACTTCCACATCAATGTTTTTGGATGTCGCAATGTCACATTCCAATATGTCACCATCACAGCGCCTGAAGACAGCGCAAACACGGATGGAATTCATATCGGGCGCTCATATGGTATCACCATCGACCACACAACCATCGGCACAGGGGATGATTGCATCTCTCTTGGTGACGGAAGCCAGCGAATCATCATGACCAACGTTACTTGTGGACCAGGCCACGGTATAAGCATCGGAAGTCTAGGAAAATACCAAAGTGAAGACCCCGTGGCCGGAGTACTAGTCAAGAACTGCACCCTGACTAACACACAAAATGGTCTGAGAATCAAAACATGGCCTGGCTCCCCTGCATTTGGCACTGCCACACATATTCACTTTCAAGATATTGCCATGGTCAATGTAGGAAACCCTATCTTCATTGACCAACAGTATTGCCCATATAGCCAGTGTGCACAGAAGGCTCCATCTACAGTCCAGATCAGCAGCGTCAGCTTCGTCAACATTAAGGGCACTTCTGCCACACCAGTTGCTGTACAGCTTATGTGCAGTAGAAAATTACCATGCCAGAATGTAGGGTTGGAAGATATTGATATCACTTACAGTGGAGACAAAGGGCCTCTTACCTCTCAATGTGCTTATGTGAAGCCTCAGTTTACTCGAGTGGCAAATCCTCTTTCTTGTGCTACCAATCCTTTTAGTCGGAGAAGTAGAAGAAATCGTGCTAATGTTCTCTCTAGATAGATTGCCAGTGTATTTGCCCTTTTAGGTACATAATGGAAAGTGTTCTAAGTTCAAATTGAGATTGATCTTTATTTTATGCATTGCAATAAGTTCCCTCTTCTTCACGACCCTCGTTATTAACCCAGACTCATGCCTCAATCTAAACCACTCTAATGCCAATTAAAATATTACATTAACAATCTCCCCTTTTAGTACAAAAACCTCATTGAAAAGAAAAACAAGTCAAGTCAAGTCAACTGATAAAACAAACTTCAGACTCAATATCCAATGAAGCTTCGATGAAAAACTTCAAACGGAAAGCTCATAAACACTAATATACCAATGAACCACGTGTGGTATGAAGTGCAAAGTGTAAGATAAAAACATAAGGTCAAATTACCATGAAAAAGTCAACGGATTGTAGCCGAGTTGAAAAGGACCTTACCTTGCAGACTAGTGGTCTTAGTTTCGAACCCCCATGATACCCTATTTGTGTGTGTGCGAGAAATCCTCCCTCTCCCTTATTAACTTTGGCAACAACAACAAAATTACCATTAAAAAGAAAACTAGTTTAACATACACACATAATTCTCCCCATTTTTTGTCATGAAATGCCTAAAGGACTATGTTTGAAGTTTTAAAAAGAAAATACATTTTTAAATTTTAAAGAAATTAAAACAAAAATTATGTCAGATTATTTGTAATGGTTTTTCTTTAATTTTTTTGTTTTTATTTTTTATAAATAATATTGTGCGGACTTTGGATATGTGGATCAAATTTTAGGGCCCATTGAGAAGCCCTTGTACACATAGGAAAACTCTTAATTAATTGGAAGGCAAGTCTTTTGTCTTGGGTCGGTGGACTTCCTAGTTCAAATGGGCCAACGGTGCAATGTTTTCCCAAGGGAATAAGGAGTGCCGATCTAGAACTACGTGGCAATTGCCTATTGGATGTTTTGGTTGTTCTTTTGGCCTTTTTCCTTTTGTTTTGTTCATGTTTCGTTTCCAAAACGACAGGATCGTCTCCCTCTTATAAATACGCGTGGAGGCCGTTTCTTTCTCTCAAAGTCACCACCTTATTGCATGAACAACCCAACAGTCCAATACAAACACACAAACAGAGCACTTCATCACAAAACCACGGCGACTCTTCTTAGCATTCTCCAAGTAAGGCCTCTCTCTCTCTCTCTCTAAGTTTCTGTCTTTGTGTTTCTTCTTAATTTCATTTTCTCTGTTAATGTTCTTGTTTGTGTTCATATGGTTATATTGAAAGCTATGTGAACTTTTACCAGAGACTTTTTTTTTCTTTTTTCTTTTTTAATTATAGCTGTGTGAGAAGGTGAATTTTTTTAACCTTTATTCTATTTTTTTCGTATAATTATTTATCTACTTTGGAGGGCATGTGCATTGTTCTTGTAAAAACCTGAAAAGGCAGAGGAATATACAAATAGGATGTCAATTCAAGGAAAAAAAAGTTAATCAAGGAGGCCTGGATTAATTAGTATATATAAGTAAATTTCTGGTGCATCGAAGGCCAAGATGATTTTTTTTTCTGGTATATTAGTATATATAAACAAAATTCTAGACACAATTATGAGAAATAAATTTATGGTACCTTTGTTTATCTGCATTGGTTTTTTTCTTTTCTTGCTCTCTTTCAATGCACTCTAAATAAGGAATTCATTGATTTTTCTTTTTTCCCAACTCTGCCAATTTTGTCGAAATCTCTCGATTAGTTTCTGTTTCTAGCAAGCGCCGCAGAGGTTATGTTATTCTCTGGTACTGATTGTGTATATGCATGTAGTGGAACTTTTTAATGATTGTCTTATTTGGATTTTGTAATGCAGGTTACTGAACATTGGTGATTGACTGTGAAAGTTGAAGAACATCTTTTGCTAGGAAAGAAATTCAAATGGGCCAACCTAAGTCTCTTCTTTTCCTGTTGATCTTCTTAACTCTGGCAAGGTCTTGTATGTCATGGTTTTGGTCTTCTTCTTCTGGCCAGGCCGGCCATAACACTGCACAAAATCTGCAAATATCTGGTGATGTTGCTGCTGAATTCTCCATGGATGCTCTCAGTGATGAAAGGGGGATTGAGCGGCTCAACAACGCTAGAAGAAAACTGGTTGGCTCTAACTCTTGTTGGCACGATGCTTACCAAGGAATATTTGCAGCATGTTCTGAGATTGCCGCCGATGACAATGACAAGAGGAAGAGATTTGCTTGGGATCTTAGCAATTGCTTTCAAAAGGACTCTGGCAGACCCCCTTTTCCTAGATGCCCTGCAGGCTCTCCCATGAAAGCTTGCCTTGAAAAATTGGACAACAATGCAATTCATGCGTATCGCGAATTCTATCTGGAAACCAACTCCATTTGCCATCAGTTACAGTTGAGTATAATTTTTTTCTCTTTAACCTAATAAGTGTTGAAACATGAAGAATATTAATCTTAACTTGAATTGTGGTTGTGTGTTTTCTTTTCTTTTTGCAGGTCTGATATATTCCGGCGTCAAACAGAGAAGTTGGTGAATGAATTGGTAAAGTCATCTGATTATGCAGAGGAGAAATTAGAAACCATAGCAGAGAAATCAGAGAAATTGCTGGAGGGCTCAAAATATATCCACGAGTCTTTGAATTCAATCGACGAACAAACACAACAAGTGGCTCAGACTTCCAAGAATGTGAGTGATCAAATTGGTGGCATAATGAAGCAGTCAGAGGTGATGTTTGAGCAATCTGAGAAAATTGCAGCCTCTCAGTTAGAATTGCAGATGGGGCAGGACAAAATGAAGGAAAAATTGGAAGAGGGGATGGAAATGGTTCATGAGTCATACCATGTTCTAGGTAAAGGAATACACAGCTTACAGGATGAGACTGTTGAAATAGAGAAGAAGATAGGCATAGTTGGAGAAGCCATGTCTACAAAGATGAGCAAGCTGCAAAGCAAGGCTGATGATATTGGGAATGTAGCAGAGATTTCCTTGAAAAAGCAAAAGGAACTTCTACATGGGCAATCTGAAGCTCTTGATGGCCTTGAGTCACTAACTAAGTTTCAATCCCAAGCTCTAGAAGAGAGCAGGTAAGACACATTGCAATTGCCATGTTAGTAAAAATAATTTCAAAACATCTATCAAGCTGTATGTTATTAACATTCTGTTTTAAAAATGCAGGGTTATTTTGCAACAGTATGCTACATTTGGCCGTGAACAACAAGAAGAGCTTCTTCAACGACAGGACCAGATTCAAAAAGCACACGACCACCTAGTCGAAAATTCAAAATTTATATTGTCAGCTCAGGTAACTGTTTCTTTATGCTGCATTCTAACTAATTCAGTCTTTAATAACTTCATGATCCTCATAAAAACACTCCCTTTTATATGTGTACAGGAAGCTTTTGAGCAGAAGCAGGCAACCATGTTTGTTGCTTTGGACAGGCTATTCGCCTTGCACAACGCCTTGTTGCTCGAATCACGGTCAATGAAAGCCTTCTTCGTTTATGCCATGTCAATGTTTGTCCTCTACATGTCCACCAGCACAAAGCAAACTTCCACTGTGAGATGTGAGCTATACATTGGTCTATCGATTATATTTCTGCTTGAACTTGCGGTCCTGAGATTTACAACAAATGGAATAGAGCAACAGACTCGGTGGGTCAATATATTGAGGAACTTCTTTGCGCTGTATGCCGCAGTTCGAATAATAGTTGCTTATATCAGATACAAGTAAGTGAAAAAGATCTCGGTAAAGATTGAAATTACTTTTTTCTTTCTCTCTGTTTTTGCTTTTATGATTTGCATTTAACATGTATGTGTTTGAAATTTTCAGGGACTATGGAAGGCTGAACCACGATATGCTACAAGTTCTAACAGAGGAGGTTATGAGCTTACGAAAAAACGCAAAGTTGGAATGGGAATCAGATGATGAATCCGATTGGTCTACATTTGTTGACAAAGATGTACCGGATGGCTTTGAGAACTTGAAGGATCCCAACCATCTGCAAGAAGAAGTTGGAGATAATTTATATGCAATCACTTCGTGTACTGGAAGATATAATCTCCGCAGTCGCTCTCCTCGATCAACTGTCTGTTTTTGATGTAAGAGCTTAGAGAACATTATACTCGTAGATTTTGCCAAGTTAGATCATGCAGGACTGATATATTTGTCCTAATCTTTTGTAATTGTATATGTAAATCATCATCCATCATCAATAATATCTAAAGTTTCTGCAAGATTTTTAAAGTGGTTACAAAAATTAATTATGCGATCCAACTAATCTATTGAGAAAGTTGCCAAGGATCTGAAAATCATGAAAGCGCAGTATAGCCAGCCAACAATCTTTTAGCTCAGTATGCAAAACATAAGCAGAAATCTGAGTTCACACACAACTACATGTATGGTGGAATGTTGGGCAAAGCACTTGTTGCTTGGACCAAACAAATCAACGCCGATATTGTCCCCAACTCAACCGCCCACTGAGTCTAATAAATATGGGTTTTGATCACAAAATGCGTGATATTAGTAGTGGTATCATTCATTATATATTGTATTTCATTTAGTCAAGTTTCTGATCTGGGACTTTATGTTCTTCAACAATTAACACCAGAATCTTCCACCACTTTTATAATTAAAGTATTGGTTTTTAAATTTGATTTGGCTGCTCATATGGAGGATTTGAAGTCGAATCATATCACATACTGATACTGAGATACAGTAACAATGATTAAATCAGAGCCAAAACCAACTAATCGAAGTGTCGGCAGGTGCTTGTACAATTCAGAAACCTTTTGTGGACATAAATGTCAACGAGGCAACAACATCATAATCTTTGATGCCACCGGGAAAAGTAAAAATTTGATTACAAGCAAAAAGAAAAAACTGGCTTGCCTTACTGTATTTTCCATCAAGTGCAAGTAGCTTAATTAGTCACTGTCGAGACTCAATTATTTCCATCATTCCTTGATAATCTACTTTATTCTCATGTCGTTTTCAGTGTGCATAAAAGCGTGAACAAGCTGTGAGATGA